CTTCCATACATTTCTATCAGCCGTCATATCTGAATCCAATCCTTTCTTAAGCATATCCTCTTTCACACAATCCATACTTTCTTCGGTCTTCCTCTACCTTTGTAGCAATCCACATTCTATCTTAACACTTTCGGGTTTATGTCCCCATCGTATCGTCGCATAAAATGTCCATAAATAAATTTTAAAAATTGTCGTTTAGTTTATATTTCTGTACCTGAACCATATTTCAAAAACCATTTAGCAAACATGTGTAATTAACTTGTACAGTTGTAAATTCGTTCACAATTAAAGGGGAGCGAGCTTTATCGGTGTTATAACAAAAATAACCTCGCTGATAACGGGGCCGAGTTGCGTAACGCAACACCGCTGAACGCACTAATTACTTTATTATGCTAATTGACGAAATTCAAACGAGCTAATTGTTATAAAATTAAGTTACACATTTCACCATCAGTTAATTTGATTTTAAAGTTACAAATTACTTCAAAAAAAAAACATTCTATGATCACTTTTATATTATACTAACTCTTTCTTTCTCGCGACCTTGCCTGCGCATAGCCTATGTTACTCACTGATAACGTAGCTTTGTAATGGTGAAAGAATTTTTGAAATTAGTCCAGTAGTTTTTTAGTTATTTCAATACATACAAAAATCCAAAAATACAAATCATTCCTGTTTATAATATTAGAATAAAAGAATAAATGAAAAAGAGTAACGTAAATACGTGATAGTATTTGGGAACTGAGAGTGAAAACCAACTAACTAACCAACTGATTCCTAATCTATCCCTAATACTAGCAGCACGTAAACAATTGTTTCAAAATTAAAATCCATTTTGGCAATCAAATAGCATTCCGCAATGTTTGTACGCAATACATTGGAGAGCAAATCGCTCGCGTTCGACCCAATTCGGGGGCAATTTAACGCGCCTAATTTGTGCATAAGCGCACATTTCCCGGGGCGCGCCATCCGCAACAATAAGCCATTATACCCCATCCTCATTAGCTCGCGCTAGGGTAAGATAATTAGAAACGGCCTCGAGCTTGTCACTTCAGGCTACATTTTTTTGTCGCAATGCGTCAGCGAACCGAGATGTGTGCCAATAAATGCACTCCAGTCCATAAGGTGTAATGTGACGTCACGGGGCGGGCTCGGCCTGTCAGCTGTGGTTTATTTTTAAACGGATTTGGAGGCAGGTAAATATTGGCCATGTGTACATTATATAGGCTAAAGAAATCTCTTAAATTACTCGTTCGTTATGTTTCGACAAATACCGTGATAGTGTTTTTATACTTATCTTTAGCAGTGGATACTCTAAACTTTCACTTTCAAACCTAAACAGACAAATTTCCAACCAAGGACGTAGGCAGATGACATCATTGTCTCAATTAGAACCTCCGTTACGAAACACGCGAGCGAACACTCGATCTCAACGATCTAACTGGTTGTGTAAATCAAAAGGTCTCACGTTCGAGACCTTGACACACCTAACATAGTTGAAACAAAAATTTAACGTTGATGCAAGCTTAGATGTTATCTATGCCTCAAAACAAAACACTAACGATACTGAAACTAATTTTAAATACCTCACTCTGTAATTGCCGCTTACAATTTGATGGGCATAAATTATTTTATGGAATTTGGAGTTTATTGCGCACACGTGAAACTAAACTATCGCACAACCGTTTGTTATCGCTTTGATTCCTATAAGCTTATTTGGAGATGCCCACACAATTTATTTTGTAGGTGTGCAACTGAACAGTCGAATTGGCTAAGAAACAATCGACAATCGCTTAACAGTGTGCGATTGTTTAGTCTAAAGTTTGCGCCAAGTCTTATATTTCGTTTTAGTATTCGGCTACAAATTCTATATTTATTGTCTTTAGAAATAAAATAAAAATAAAACCTTGTTGTGAGTTTTTGTTACGCTTTAACTGGTGTGGTTAATTTTTGTTTAAATAAAAAAAGAACAGGTTAAATAACAGTGTCACTGGGGCTCAGTAATGAGAGGATTTCGCATCGAGTCCGACCCGCGCGATGCCAAACAATAAACAATATCTGGCTGAATGTGAACGCTCTATTATTTATGTGGAGGAAAAAACCGGAACGGCTGAAATATCGCCAGCTTTATAGCTGTGGCTGAATGCACAACGCGAAATAAAATGATGCATTTTAACGGTTCAAGGCAAGTGTAAATGTAAAAAAAAAACTTTCACATCTAGTTTGAATGTAGAGGCAACATCCGGTTTTTGATCTAGGTTTTTCGGATTTCTCTCCGACATTTCAAAGTCCAATTAATAAATAAACCTTACGACGACTGAATCTATACTATTATAATAAAACGTAAACACACTTCTTTGTTTCCTAAAATGTCAGTAATTACAACATATTTTTAAATAATTATTTCTTAAATAAAAAGCCCTACACTTACATCACGCTTTAGGCTATATATTTTTACGCCATTAAACTTAGGGGGTAAATATTTTGGATAAAACCTTATGTGGGAAAGAGACCATAAGTTGCTGCCAACATCAAGGAAGCAAAGTTGCCATGCTTTGTCATCATGTCATGTCATTTTGACATTTGCAATTGATAATTTGACACATGTAAACGCATGGGAACAGCTAGTTAATTAAACAAACGCTTTAATATTATCGGTTATTAACTTAAAAGGTTCAACCTTTAAATTAAAAAGAAGGCAAATACGCTAAAACGATGTAGGTATACTTTGCGTCCTTTAAAATTGTACGCGAAATTCCTCAAGCTCCATTCTAAACATTTTTTAAGTCTGAAAAAATTCAACTCTATGAGAATTAAAAGCTTTCGAGATACTTTTAACGTTTTGTTTAAAATTCTTATTTTTTAACATGTGTATTTTAATGAAGAATTTGTTAAAATTTTTGCAACTTTATTATAACAGATTTCTTCTTCTTTTGGGAAGTCAATTAAAAGGACGTAACTGTGGGTTTACCCTGTGATTTATATAAAAATATATCCCTCTTATTCTCTTTGAAAAAGAAAAGGACAACACAATTGTGTTCTAATACAAGGTTTACGGTAATAGAATCTCACGGTGATAAAAACATATCGATTGTAAAATAGGACAATATAAAAAAAATATTGCTGCATTAAAATTAACTCCAAGGTTTCCTTGTTTACAGATAAAAAATATTCTTATAGAAGTAAATGAGAATAAGCGGTAAACAGTCGTTACTGACGCTGGGAGTAACATGAAAAGGCGAGCTCCATTCTGCAGGGAAAATATTTGAAACGACGAGTTGTGCCGCAATGCGGTACAGTTGGCGGGATCCGACACTCGTGTATTATAACACTCCCACTTTATTGAAGCTCTTGGTTAACTGCAAACGCACGATTTGTACACTTTAGATCAAGATAGACGAGAGCAAGGGGTCACAAAGACCTAGCATTTTGCGATACGTAAAGAAACCACTTTAAATCGACAAAGGAGTCGAAATATGGGTCTTTTGCAGTGTCAATATAAAAAACCGCAAGCCGCAATAAAGTTTGAATTGCACTATACAATGTTGCGGTAGATTCTCGTGTTAACAGAACTGTCCGAGATTAAACTTTAACCACTGAATTTGGGAACGGTAGCGAAGGAAACGAACTTGCGATTGCTTATCTATTCTCTAATATTCATGAAACATAAATTAGTAGCATTAACGAAGTTAATATTAACGGAATATGTTCAACTTTTTGAGTTATAAATTCTTAACCTTAAGGTTACCTTTTACCTAGTGCGGCGAAAATGGTCTCATTTGCAGTGTGACACATTTTTAAGCAATGTAGTCTACTTTTGCATATTCCCTTGCGACTTCTCGGGAAGCGATAGTAAGTGTGTCAACACGTGTGACAATGAATAAAGAGAATATGACATTGACCATCAGATCAATGGAAGAAAAGTTACACAAAGTGGGAGAGGCAGACAAGACAATAGCGAGGAAGTAAAACGATTTTCTTTCATTAGGCTACAATGAGCGGAGCACGCCACGATCCAAGGCCACGGCAGCCATTGTTGGCGTGTTTTTATCGACGTCGTGCAGTTTGCAACCATAATGTAAGTTGCAGTTTCAAGTATCCACGAGTAATTACTGTATAGGCAAAAAGTTACAATCAATAAACGATGAACTTGTATTTTCCTGTCCTAATATCGTTCGTAAGTTTTGAATAGCTGTGGCCATTCGCAATTTATTCCAATTTATAGTTTGCTTGGTTATCTCATCGTTCATAAAAATACAATAAAAATCTAAAAGAAAAGAAAATTAGTTGTAAAATAACTAACAAAAGACATCGGCCTCTTTCCAAAAGCAACAATATCTCGGGTCTCGATAGAAGTCAAATCGTACTTAAAGTAAACCAAACGAAACCCCCGGCACAAAATTAAGAGTAAACGGCGCAGCCCCAGCCCGTAGCCCGTAGCCGGGTTACGAGTAGCTCGACGTGAAACTAGAGCGGGCGGGCAAAAAGCCGCGCAGACGGCCGCCCCGCCCGTAACTAGGTCTGCGAACAAAGCGCTTCTTGGGTCGGCTGGCGCGCTAAATCCTGACACAAGTGGGTCAACGCATGCCCCCTCCAGATACGCCAGCGTGTCCGCAATAATTCACCACTTTAATTCAAGTCCACGGCAAGTTTTGAGCCGCAGTCATTACAATGGTCTAGAGAATAGCGAAATTATGAATCTCTTGTATTATTCTTTGGGCTTTCTTTTTTAATATTCTCAATGGATTTCGACAAAGACGACAATTACGGCCGACGGCTGTGTAGTGAAGCGCGGGGTGTATTTACGTTGCCACTATTGTTCCCGTAACTCTCATCGTTCAACAATAGTTTGTTAAAATGACGTTTACTTTTACAAGTATCGCGATTATATGCAACTGTGAAATGCTCGCACAAATATATATATCACAAAAAAATTCTGCTCTCAATACTAACAAGTGACATTTTTATTGCACATTATGACTTTAGTAAAAAAGACTGACCTGGATAGAAGTCATGAGACTTGGACATCTTGACTCTGGCGCCGGTGTCCTTCTGCAGTTGGGCGATGGTCTCACCGCCCTTGCCGATGATGGCGCCGGCCACCATCGACGGCACCAGCACCTTGAAGTGGTACGTCGGCTCCACTGCTGGAGACCAAAACATACGTTACTTACTGTCACCATGTCAGAGGAGGACGGTCCTATAGCTTTTTTATATAATAGTAAATGACCAGAAAGTCGCCTCTATTTCCAACGCTCAAAAACATATACTAGTGGATATTTCTTAATAATAGACAATTTATTTTTGATTTTATAAAAGTCAAGGACTGTACTCCAACTGTTTTGATAATATTCCTAACGATCAATTTAAAGAATAAAGAATGTAGATAAGTGAATAAAATAACACTCATTGGATAGTTTCTTTTGATCAATCTATTTATGTAGTTTATGAGTAAGTTTTTATGTTGAGTGGTATGGGATAAAAAGATATATTTTAAGAGTAAAATAGTATTAACAAAACAAAACATTTGAGTTCATGAAATGTTTAAATTTTTTTTATATAATAAGTAATGTTAAAATTAGTATTATTTTATACCATACCACACATTTGTGTCGTGTACGCGGTGAACCACATAGTTAAACATTATGTTTGTCATGCGTAAATAGGGTTGTCAGATCAATAACAAAAGATATCGAGTAAAATATCACTCAAAAATTAAATAAAAAGCTTTTTATCGATATCAATATTTTAAATCATCTGGCAACCCTACCCGCGATATATGATGTAAATTGAAGAGCAATTTTGAATAGTTTATTTCTAGAATGAATTTGTGTCAGTATTCACAGCAGTTTATAAGATTCTATGAACATTGGCCAATACATATCGCAAATCTATTGGATCCGTGAAATCAAAAGGTCATAAATCGGCATACGACCTTTATTGCATAACATAAAAACGAGAACAAAACGGCATCGTTTATTGCGTTTATTTATTGCCATGCATTCATTATTAATCAGAAATAGCTACATCTACATGGATGCAGAAGAGTATGTCAAAGACAGAATAGTTTTAATGATATATGTTTTCTAGACTTTATAAAATTTATAGATCGTGCTTGTTTATCGTGAAGTTAAATGAACGGCTAGTATAGAATATAGTATATTATTGGCTAAAATAATATGCCCCTGACATATCGTTGATTGGGAACTGATTGAAAAAGACCAACACATGAGACCATTCGATCAGAAAGAGGAATCAATATCAATTGTGAAATATCTAATTAATTGAATTAAGAGGGGTGAAAAGAAACTCTCTACCCACTTCCAACATTCAGATAAATTTATTAGAATACGTAACACCTAAAAACCACTGCAACATAAAACTACTAAAGATAAGACTTAACGAAGAAACATTGTTTTTAATAAAAGAAAAGAATTGTCCCACTATTACAAGACGTAAACTACATTGCGATACGTCGCTACGGAAGGTGGGGTAACAAATGACTGCTTTCCTTGGGACTGTGAAAACGGGAATAAACAAAAATGTACCTTAAATTAAAGAAATAAATCATATTTTGTTTTTCTGATACAACAAATTAGTTAAGGAGTACAATAGAAGAGAACACAAATTTTAACTAACTTCATTCATCGGCTGATCCACTTTCCTACACAAAATAGATCATTAGTTACAAATTAAACGGTAGCAAATTAAACTAGTGCCAAGTTGAATGTGGTAACATCCGTTCTAAAAATAAATTTACGCAGAGCTTTCTCACTACACATCTCTATAATATTTCTTCATAATATAAAAAGTGATTTATTAACAAACATCTTCTTAACATTTTATAATATAAAAGTTGTAAATAGAAATAGAGGATCGTTTCAAAATAAGCTGTTCAAAAATGCTAAGCAAGAATAAACGACAAAATCTGCAGACAGAAACAACTCGAACACTCTACCAAAGCAAAAGACCTAAAAGAAAATACACTTGAAACGAATAAAGAAACAGCAAAGTTAGCTTCATAAAGACATCGTATACAAACTAAACATCGATGGGATACAAAAGAAACTAGAGTACCGTCCAATGTGCTACAATTGAGTGGCAGTATGGCAGCGCAGCGTCTTACAATGTCCCATTTGACCTCGATACAAACTAGGGATGATCGATAATATATCGATACACGACTATCGATGATTTATTACACTAACTATCGAAGAAAAAATAGTGTAACCTATGCGAGACTCTGGACTATTTTATTCTGTTCCAAATTTTATTTATACCAGAATATAAACAAGTGGCCAGGCCCGTCTTCTTACCACTATAACAGGTATTATGTAGCATTCTAATGGTGAAAGAAGTTTAGAAAACGAATGACTAGTTCTTGTGTTCATTCGTTACAAACATACAAATAATTCCTCTCCATAATATTAGTGAAAATTATACAGAATACAAATCACAGTTTCAATTTATATTTAAACGAGGGAAGGAAAAATAATAACGATCTCTGTTACTGACATGTAATTAATTAATATGGCGACATTAATTTAATTTGTCGACATGTTGACTAATGGGAGACTATGTCAGAAAATTAATAATCAGAAGCTGCATTACTACGTTCCAATACGATGTACAATTCCAAACTAAACCCTATTTTTTATAACATTTCCCCGTCTTCATGTTTTCCATCAGTTGCCAGTTCTTTTAATCGTCGTCACTTGTTTCTTGAACATATATCCCTTCAGACACTGATGCATTGTGCATGTTTTCAGTAACCATTCATTTTCAATAACCTCTACCTTCAAAATCAATGCTCAAAATACTAACAAATTATTTGGGAACTAGAGTACAGACAATGAAATCGTCCGACCATGCATTTAGATAACTACACACAGCCAGCGATAATCACATACGTGATTTCGATAATCCGAAGCCGGCATTTGGTCGGAATTGATTATCGATAATTTGCTCGTACACCGTACCTTTATAGCAATGTAAATTGGCCAAATGTAACAATTTGCATTAAAATAACATTTGCCCGAGAGAAATTTAAAATATTAAGAAATATAGCCTATACTCACTGATTACATAACTTTTTAATGGTGAAAGATTTTTTCCAATATCAATACATACAAAAGTACATTTTTTCTCTCTATATTAGTATAGATAAAAGCAAATGAGATGGAGTACATGTTTCTCTTAGTGGATTCCGGTAATGACACACTAGTATCAAAGACAGTGCAATATGGCATGGCTACAATCCCACGAAACATTGGCATTTAGCGATTTTCCATTCATCATTAAATTGTAACAATGTGTCAGCCAATACGTCCTCATAAAGATTAATGGCACGTCTTCCAAAGCGTTACCAATCAATAAAATTGCCGAGTAAAATGACTGCCGTGTCTGCGGCGACGGAAAATTACATCATTATAGATTCCCCTGGCGTTAGGCGTTGTGCCACTGCAATAGAATTACCTCCGGCAAAGAGCAAAATCATGTAAAATTATGATAAGTAATCCATGTACAAAAATGTAAAAAAACAATCCCAATTCCTAAGAAAACTGAGTTAAAGAAAATATATCCAAGAAAAAATTGCCTTCAGGATTTTATGAGTAAAATGAATCGTTTAGATTGACTTTTGTTATAAAACTACTTTTCGATAAGTAAACTTATTTCTAACATAGTCATCTATAATACATAGGATTTTATTGGAATAGATATTGCTGTTTTTCTAGATACGATCGTATTTATATACCCGCTTATACTGTAGTTTAAATTATTACAGAAAGCAATTTAGATGTCAGCGTCAATCTTTCATTACTCCATTTGCTTAAAAGTCTGGTAATTACAATACAATGATAATAGTCATGCTATTTGAATTTCCCTTTCACGGCAACACTGACAATCAGGAGTTAATTGGAGTTGCCAGCTTACAGTTTAATCAAAGCAGAAAACGAGACGATCTGCATTCTCGTACACAATGAGTTACCTTTGTTTTGTATCGTAGGGGAGAAAAACTTCACACAAAGCAGATGATATTAAATATTAATTCAGACAAACAGAGTAAATGCGATGTTATTTTTCAAGGGAAATAACGTTTTTATACGTTCGCGAAGTGATAAAAACGTTTATTGCAATCTAATAGTGATGGGCTTTCAACGTTCGTTTTTTATCGATAAAATTTTCAACATTCAAGTTTCACTTTTTATTTTATCAGCAAGCTCAGTGTTAGCTTAGTTTGTGTTTACTTTCACTGTTTCAGCAAACGTTTTTTCAGCTTCCATTTCAATTCTACTTATAGATAAAAAAGCCAATTTAATTTACTTTAGAAAGGGACAGAGTTTTTGAAAATACTTTTCCAGTGTTTTATTATTATTTTTTTAGTTCCCACCTTGTGAATTCAAACGAAACTTACATTGGACAAAGACAGAAAATCTTTATTAAATAAATTTTCAGCAAAAGAAAATGCGGGTTGAATTTAGGATAGAATTTCCAATAACATCGGCTAGGAATGTCATAACGGTCCCATACATCAGCCACGAAACGTTACGAACCATGTTACAGTCATGAAAAACAATTTCTCTGGCGTTTATAAAAAGAAATATTTCACAACGCATTAAAATAAGGTTAATTGGTTACTACGTCAACGTTTTTTATATGAATTTTCTAAGAGTAGGATATCTAAAATACAGGATTAAAACGGGATAGAATCGTTATTATTATATTAACTTTCATATTTTTATCATAAGATATCAAGATCGATACTTTTATATAAGCCGTAATAATTCCAAACAGTCAAATAAACTTTTCATGTAAACAAAGATTTGACTTACTTCCCGAATTTTCGATAAAAACTGTGTAAAAAGATCGTCTATTATGAGATATATTCCATTCCGCAATACTTGAAGTTAGTAAGTAGCATAGTAATTAATAATCATATTACGTTATATCAAATGAAATGACTTTACAGAACATCACTAGAGCATTGAAAGTGAAATTAGTGACTTTCAATTTTCAACCCTTAGTTAGATGTCCTAGTAAATGCGGGGGTCATGGTTACCGCGTCCTATTCACTGAGAGACGTCGACAGCTGTCAACACAAGCCCCGACCGCCGCTCTCCGTCGCTTTGATAACATTTTCATCGCT